TGCCCACCCCCCCCCCCCCCCACCCGCTGACTGCCTAGGAGCTGGAGTGACTCCTCGTGGCCAGACGCATTTCACCTTCAGCTCCTCTTGCCGTGGCAACTGCGGGGGGCGGGTGGGCTTGTACCTGCCTCTGAGCCAAGACTGGGTCTTGGCTGCTTCTCTCCTGGAGGCCTCTGGCGGAGAAGCAGCTCAGTTGCCTGCCGCCCTGTCCTCGGCCCTGGAGGCGCCTTCCCCCCCCTTTAAGCACCCCCCCAGCCCTGCTGGGTCCATCCTTGGAGCCTCTGGACAGCCGCGGGGTGGTGGGGTGGTGGTGGAAGGGGGGGGCGTGCAGAGGGAGTGGCGAAGGAAGAGGGTCCTCGATGCTGGAGAGGCTTTCTGTGTTGCACGTGGAGGATTTTTATACTTTTTTTTAAAAAACTGAAACTTGATTTGTGTTAAATATTTGTGGAATGGTCTTTTTAATACCAGAAGGTCTTTGAATAAACCAACAAAAAAGGTGTGTCCCTGTGCGAAGAGTCTTGTCCTCGGGGGAGGGCTCTCAAGGGGGCTGGGGGAGGCAGCCCGCTTTCTGCCTGGCTGAAGCACATGGGAGAGGCAGAGGGGTCGGGGGAGGCATTGCTCTTGGAGGGGGGGGCACAGTGACTCTGGCCTCTGCTCAGGAGTAGGTCCTAACTTTTGTGCAGCGTCATAAGAACATAAGAGAAGCCAGTGCTGCATCAGGCCAATGGCCCATCCAGTCCAGCACTCTGACCGATTATTTATTTGAGGCTGCGGTCACACGGAGCAGAAGCCACGCTACTGAGACGGATGATAGGCGGATTTTCCGGGCGCGATCACACCGCAACATTTGGAACCCGAGGCTTCCCTCCGAAGATGCGCAGTTAAAAACTAGTACCTCCGAGGTACTAGTTTCCGGTAACCACGGGGCAAGGGCGGGCGTCTGATCACGTTTCCAGTGGCATCCGGCACCTGCCCATGTCCCCTCGCAAAAAGGTGTGTCCACCCCACCACAACCCAGGGTTCCCTTCCCAGCAGCACCGTTCTCTTCTAG